TTTTTTTTTTGCCACAATTCTTCAGCATCGTTCGACCTTAATTATTATTTTTTTAAGTTTAACTTTTTGTGGTAATGAACAGAATGACTGTGAATTACAAGTAGGTTTTAAACGGCGGTAGTTAAACAAATTTTCTCCGGTATCCGGTATATGTCAAGGCTCTTAGCCTTTTAATGGTTGTCTGATGAGGTGATCATATCTTTTGTTCTCTCTTTTGGAAAGGTAACATATGTTATTATTTCTAGGGTGATAGTGCAAGTCGCATTTGTCATTACTGAAGTGAATTTGGCGGGTATTTGTTAAATTCCTCTTAAGTGTCAGACTTCTGGAGGTATTGCTGTTGTAAAAGTTATTTAAGACTTCTGGTCATTGCTTTGCTTATCCAGCTACAGCTTCTTAATCCTCTTTTTTCTTTTCGTCCAGAAGCTCTGTTTAATATTTGGTCGTTAAATAATTGCTTCATTTTGGCCCTCTTCTGTTTCTTAAAAAATAATTCTTTATTTACTACAATTTGTTTTCAGAGGTTATACCCTTCCGTTATTCCTTTTTTCCTCTATCATTTTAAGACATTTTTGTTTTTTTGATTAGTAAATTTTGCTGGATTTTGTCTGCTTCGGATGCGGTACTTCTGAGTTATTATTGTATCTCTTTGACGAACTGTTCAACAGTACTGTTAACCTGGCAGCAGCTCTATCTTAGTTGCAACGATAGTAGTAGATGACGTCGGGGGTAATTTTGAGGAAGTTTCATTTCTTATGAGTAATTAGAGTCAAATTCTGAGTACTTTTACCGGGTATCTTTTCAGTACACGGGTGATATATTTACATTAGACTATTCCTTTTTTAATTTAAGTATTTTGCTGTGGTTTTGGAACTTATCCTTTTAATCGTGCATAATGTCGCTCTCTTTTCTGTCTGATGGCATTAAACTGGTGTTGAATGGAGCTTACTAGTGGGGAGAGCTTTGTATTGCTTAGTTCTTCAAAGCTCTTCGCAAAGCTGCTCAACTTGGTAAAACCATAAAGTATTTATAGCATTTAGCATTATATTGTTTTTTTTTTGGTCCAAAAAGACCTATGTAGCTAAGGACTTTTTCTAGTAGTTTTGACTCTTGGAAAAAACATTTACCTAGCGTTCCTTTCACAGTTATTTTTCTGCTTTGAGAATGTCTTTCGCAATCAGTTGAGCTTTCATTTTACTTTGCTCCTATGTGTAGCTTTAATTATCTCTGCTATTCTCTTTATTTTACTCTCAACATTTGCTTGCTTAACAAAGTGTTGTACGGATTGTTATATTCTAACGCAGTTCAAGTTTAAATTTGAAGATTTGGGCTCCCCAATGATGACAAATTTTTTTCAGCTTCTCTTGTTAGAATCACACGTATAATTTTAGTGCGCTTATTGCGCTCTTGATTAGCTGTCTTGTTTTGCAACCGTCGTTTCGTATTTTAATAAGAGATCAAGGAATTTGGACGGTAGCTAGTGTTTTTGTCGAATTTACAAAAGCGTCTGATCCGTAGGTTCATTCTTGTATCTATGATTGATGTAAAAAATATTTGTGTTTTTGTAGTTCTTGTGGACATTGGAAACAATTGTCCCAGTACTTGGGTGCGGGATCACTATTACTAGTAGCGATGCTTGACTTCTTGTATGCTTTTGTTATTACCTTTAATATTTCGTGAATATTAATAATAAATAACTTTCTTTATGAACTGTCTACAGTTTAAGGATGATATGTGCAGAACACGGCAACCGTGGTAACTTGTCACGCCTTTTCTCATTTTCCGATAGTTATTGTCTAGGAAATGTTTCCTTAGAAGCTCCCTATTTTTCTCTTTCGTTTTTTATGGGGATAGGGCCTTAACGGATTGCTCAGTGCAACGTCTGCACTGATGTTTTGCGTAGTAGTAGGTGGGGCTGGGGGACAGCTCAGGTGGTTCTATTTTTATTTCAGAAAATGTAAGA